TGTGCTTTTCTTCTTGTGCTACGTCTTGTGCTACTCCATCCCATTTTAGCACTGCAGAAGTTACCTAGCCGGGTAATGAAACGTTTGCAAGAAAAGAACCAAGCTCAGAGAATCACAAGGACTCCACAGTTCAACCCTGAGCTACACATATTCGCCTCTATTGATATCAAATTATCCTACTTTGGGCAGATTACGCAAAGGCCTACCTCTCTGGAAAAGGCTCTAATGCTGGGAAAGGTGGAGGGAACGTGAAGAGGATGACCAGGAGCAAGGTGGATGGATTCAGTTACAGTGGTGATAAGTGCACCATTAGAAGACCTGATAAACCAGGTTAGGGACAAATCATCATGGAGAAAATCTATCTATGTGGTCACTAGGAGTTGACAATGACTAGATGGCACATAATCATTCAAGTGGTGATGTGGATTTTTGTAGCCAGATCTGGATGCTGTACCCTGATCTAGCCAGGCCATGGCAAGGATTATAAAATGAATAAGAATAAGAATAAGGCAGAAGTATATTGTAATGGGATTGACTGTACTTTGCTCACTGCTTGAGGAAGATGGCTTCCCAGAAGTTTCTTCTGATGAACTGTTGAGATCAACAGCTGATGAATAAATGCGAGTACAAGGTGCAATATTTTTTCTTCTACCAGAAGAGGGTGACCTGAAAAAGTAACATGTCCATTATCTACTATAGTTTTCCCCAGAAAGCAAACAGTTACAGATAATTGCTTATTAACAGACATTTGGTTCCAAAAAAGTTTCACAAATGCATGCAGTCTTAAAGATCATTCCCATACCCTGGTACACACTTGTGTTAACAGTAATAGGTTAATGCTAGCCCTGAATTAAAGTTCTGTGATAAAATTAAAAACTCTACAAAAACATGGAAATATTCTAAATGGAGTTAACAAGATACAGAAATTCTACGTTAAATTCCTAGTTTGGAACCAGTGTTTATGTCATACATTATTTTCTTTAGGGTTACCAATCTTTGCTTTAAAAAAGAATATTTTACTTTCCCACACTTCAGTACATGGTGTTACATAATTACTAACCATTTCGTTTGGAGTAACAGTCAACAGAATCATCGTCTTTATATAACACAGAATAGTTAGGTATGGTAAAAACTGGTATTTCCATTCATGAAATTCATTTGTTTTGCCTATTTCTATTGGCGACTATACATCCTGGAGAAGGTCTATGTGGTTGCTAGCAGACAACACTGTCCTGATGGCTCATAATCAATTAATCAGTTGTGACTCTAACACAACATTTGTGGATGGAGGGAAGCCTCCTCCCTCTCCTTTTTCAGCATCCTTACCTGTTTGATGCAAAATAGCATCCAGAGCCCTGGATGAAGCCTGAATGTTCTTTGTGTTTGTTTTTTTAAAACACATTACATTTGCCTTTCAAAGGAGGAGATCATACCCAGAGTGCATAAGGCTTATATGCACAACTCTGATTATCTGACTTAATGCTCACTCTACAGAGGAAATTATATGGAGAGGAAGGGAGTAGTGGGATGAGAAAGAAGATGGGTCCTGTGATTGTTCTCTCAATGGGGCTGCACTGGAAGAGACAGCACTAAAAGTAATTTACAGCCTACCAGTATTTGCACACTGTGGCATTTCAAGAGAAGTTGATTTAAGGCAAAAAGCATTGTTCCTTTCCCTTTTTTCTTTCTTTCTTTCTTTCTTTTTCTTTCTTTCTTTCTTTCTTTCTTTCTTTCTTTCTTT